GCCAATTATAGTATTGAACTTTGATTTTCGTTTCAATTATACCACTGAACTGTTAAATCATTAATGACACGATGACGTGGCTGACGGATGTCAACGTAAACACCTCACCTAAAAGACATTTTTTATCCAACTGTTAACTATTTAATGGCCCAGTGGTATAATTAAAATAAACATAAACGTTTAGTGCTATAATTGGAAAAATTGAAAGTTTATTGGTATAAACGCTATAATGCCAAAAGTTTAGTGGTATATGGTGTAGTTTATCCTTAATTTATTCCTTAAAAAAGATAGGAAAACTCTTTCTTCTCATAGCTATACAAATCATTTTCTTTCATCGAGTCTCGTATATTGTTTGCCTTTCCTTTATTTTCCCCCTTCTTTATAGTTTTTCTTCCCTAACTCACTTAAACAAACCCCATCTTAGGCAGTTTTAAATCTAAATTAATCCATAAATTAAATAGTATTAACCCTTGTTTTTTAAATACTAAATTTTTTAATCCTTCGTTTTTCCTTGTTTTGTGTTGTCTTTTTGATGCTGGCATGGCCGGTCTAGATTTAGGAACTGCTTCTCGCTATGTTCATCATCAGCTTCACAGACCCGATTAAGCCCCTAGGGGTTAAGTGTATCCCCATTATTTAAGAAAAAAAATGAAATTTAGTATAATTGTTAAATAAAAATAGAATAAATTTTTTTGTACCCCTATTTATTTATGGATACGCGAACACCAACCTGAGCCCAAAGACCATGAAGCTTCGATCAACCGTGTTGGTGGTGGTAGTGCGCAGTATGGCTCGGCCGATCATCACCAAGACGATGCGTCGACTCACCAAGGCCTGGACTTGGTCAACGCTGCTCCAGGTGATGACCTTGTTGCTCGTAGGCCAAGGGGACGTCCTCCGGGCTAGAAGAACAAGCCTAAGCCACCGGTTATCATAACGAGGGAGAGTGCCAAATGCCAATACGCTCCGAGCTCACATTCTTGAGATTGGGAGCGACTGCGATGTGTTCGACTGTATTGCCAACTACGCTCGGAAGAGGCTAAGAGGTATCTGTATATTGAGTGGCAGTGGTACGGTGACCAACGTAACCATTAGGGAACCATCGGCAGCTGGAGTTGTTGTTACCCTCCAAGGCAGATTTGAGATTCTGTCAGTCCCGGGTTCTTTCCTACCGCCGCCAGCTCCGCCAGGCTCCACCAGTTTGACAATCTTTTTGGCCGGTGGACAAGGTCAGGTTGTAGGAGGGAGTGTGGTTGGTGAGCTGATGGCGGCTGGACCTGTTATTGTTATAGCTTGGTCGTTTACAAATGTGGCCTACGAGAGGCTACTTTTGGAAGAGGATGACCAGCTGCAGATGCAAAGCGGAAGCGGTGGAAGCGGCGGCGGCGGTGGTGGAAATAACATGTTTGCTGATGCAGGAGCTGCCCCAGGTGGGTTGCCTTTCTTTATTTTGCCTCTTAATATGCCCCCTAATGTCCAGTTACCGCTTGAAGGATGGCCTGCAAACTCAGGTGGCAATAGGCCTCCGTTTTGAGAGCTTTTCAATGGTAAACTCAAGCTCTATTTGCAGGCAGTTTCCATAAATGGTGGAAATGGGGTCATAAAGGTCAGCAAATTTCATGGACTAGTTATCATCAGCTTCTTCCTACACTTCCTCTTTTGTTGATGTTAATTTTAGGCTTTTGTTAATCTTTTTTTCTGGGATTTCTGGAATCTATGATTTCTGGAAATAATCCTTTCTTGTTCATGGTTTGATATGATGTATTAAGTGTAAAATTTCTGGAAATAATCCTTTCTTGTTCATGGTTTGATTAAATCAGAATGATTAATCGCTGAATGATTAAGCTTTAAATGATTCAATGGCCTGAATGATTCAAAGACTATGTATGAATTAGCTCTGAATGTGACATGCTATTTGATAATGATTCTGAATCATTCAGAATGTACTTTAATGTTGAATCTTTCAGCAGTGTTTTGTTGAATCATTTAACACAATCTTCATTCAGAGGTGATAATCAAATACGCTGAATGCTGAACGGTTCAGCATTCAGCGTTGAATGGTTTCATTCAGCCGTAAACAAACATCCCCTTACTTGAAACTTAAAAAAGGGTCGGAAAGAAAATCTTGAAGGATTTGGTAACATGGGATTGTGTAATTTCTTTTTGCATTGTTTTCCGGACAGGGTATAATAATTAAGAAACAAAGGGGTTTATCACTGAGGATTCTTCTTGTTTTCTGTCATAACCAACCATGAATTTTTGCATTCATAAGCTTACTCTTTCTTGTTTTTCAGATCCCTTTTCTTTTATTTGTTATTACATCGCATTCTTCTCTTCCTAATCTGTTGAACTAAACCAAAACATAATTAAATCTTAATGATTATCAATTCCTACTAAACTGGTCCTTTAACAGTAATCATTATTTTACATCCTTGATGAGAGATAGATTGTGAGGATATTGGCCATTCTCTCTTTTGATTTGAACGAGAGTTGTAATCGACCGTTGATCAGTGTCTAAATATTCTCTCTTCAAAAGAAGGTAGAACATAAAAGAGTACAGTGAGGTGGTATTGTAAAGGTCTCATCCGTCTCTCGGTCATACTTGAAAGGTTATATAAGGATTCATTAGTGCATGTATCAGTCCCAAGAATATAATGACTACATATAGTCTGGCAAATTTGGTGGATATAATTAAGAAACAATGAATATGATTTTGATATATCATGTGGGCGTTTCAGAAATCATATCAAGGATTCATAATCCTTTTTCATGAACTCTCGATGGAATGGATTCAACTCAGCTTGAAACAATATTGTTTTGTGGCTATCTACTTGGATTCCATTACTGGAATGTGTACTGATTACTATAACAACATATTATTGTTGTGCTTAGTTTTTCTACAACTAAAACATATTATTGTTCTGCTTAGTTTTTCTACAACTAAAACAACCTTAAATTAAGTATATTTTAGTGGCGGAATTTGGTGATAAAGTTTGGGATAACTTAAAACTTTAAAAATTACAGAGGTTTAAATTAATTTTTTTAAAATTTTTAAAAGGTTTAGTTTACATTCCCCAAAAAAATTAGGAAAACTAAAATTTTTGAAATTTCAGAGACTTAATAAAATATTTTAAATTTTTTGAGAGGGGTAGTTAAGAACATTATTTTTTTTAAATTTAATCTAAATTTCCAAAAATTTTGAAAGGACCAAATTAAAATTTTCAAATTTTGGTATCATAATCTTCACTAGTCTCTCTTGTATTCCACAATTACATATTTCCCAAATGAAACCAAAGAGAAATAACTAGTAATTGCTCTCCCCTTCTCAGTAGGATGAAGGAAAAGATCAGGGTTTAACCAGTGAAGTGTGAATTTTTAAGAAGTATTAAAAATTTAGAAGTGCGGAATTATAAAATTTCAAAGAAAATGAAATTAAATTATTAATAAAATATAAAAAATAAGTAAATTATATGAGAATTTAAAATTTTTAGAATACGCAACCGTTCCATAAAGTATGATTATCGAATCTCCATATTTGTTTACTTTTCTTGCATACGATAATCAATCCCTTCAATTCACTTTATTACATAGAAATAACATGAATAATGATCTTCATTACCTCGTTTTTAAAATTAAAATGTTTCCCATGACTAAATTTATTCTCTACTTTGAATCCATAAAACTTAGATATGTACAAGGGTATTCATACTTGTCGTAACCGTTTTTCGGCGGAAAAATCATTTAATTGTTTAAAAAATAGTTATGATTTTTAATTTTGGGAAAATGAGTGATTTTGAATTAATTTGGAAAGAGTCGCCATCAGCCTTTGGGTTAGGTAGGTCGAATACCTAAAAAACGTCTTTTAAAAATAATTTTAAGAAAAATCATTTTTTAAGACAAAAGTTGGTATGCTTTTACCAAAAATTCGATTAAAGCGGGTTCGGGAGTCGGTTACGCGTGGGAAATGATTAGCACCCCCACAACGCCCAAAATTGGTACTGTTTTGCTTACACGTTGTCGTAAAAATGGAAATCTTGAGTCAAATGTAAAGTTAAAATATGATCCATTTATTAAAATTTAATTAATTTGCTTTGAATTAATTAATTAAAGAAAATCCTTTAACATGATAAAAACATAAACCTAAAAGATTAAAATAGCATAAATAGAAACCTAAAAGATTTAAAAAAAACATTTAAAGACTAAAATGGCATTAATAGAAATTAGAGAAACCTAGTAAGTATTAAAAAAACTAAAAAATGATAAGGACTAAATGGATAATAAGCCTAAACATTAATTATTATGATGGTGACTAAAATGAACTTAATCACTAATTAAAGTGCAAAACAAAATATTTATCCTAAACCTATTAATGAACAAATAATAATCTAAATAAAATATGAATTAATTTTTTTATCAAAAATGAAACCAATAAAAACGTAATATGATGATCAACAAATAATAAACAAAATTAATAACTAAAATCTAACTATTTAAACATATAAAATATTAATACAAATAGGATTAAAAATGAAACATGAAACATATTTATAACCCAAAATGAATAAATTTATTAAGATGATATGATTATAATTATAATAACCTATATACTTAAACTGTAATTTTCCTTAGAAATGTGTAAAACACGTAAAAGCAACTAGTGGTTGAACTAACACTACCATTTTCTTAAAAAAAAAATTATTGGAACCCATGGCAGTGCCGCATGGGGATGTTAATCATGCTTTAATTATTTGGAATACAACTCAAAGTGAGTTGTTGGTGATTATCAACTTAATGGACATTTTAAAAGTCAGAACCTCTCACCAAACAATTAATTCTCATATGTTATTCAATTATATTTTCAGAAAATTATTTTTAAACCCTAAAAGTTTGAAAAACACGGTAATAGGGAAATTCAAAACGGCAGAGTTTTAATTAATATATATAAATATATATATATATATATATGAAAATCAAAGGCTTGTTTAAGCCATATACTTCATTTGTTTTAAATGTTACAATATGAGAGGAGAGAGAGAGCAAAGTTCTCTCAAAGCTTCCCCGTTGGGGAAGAAAGAAATAAAAACGCCGCCGGCGTCAGTCATGGCGATTCACGGCGGTGACTGCGGCGGCGCACGGCGAACGGGGTAAACTCAAACACCAAAATATTTCTATCTTCACTCTCAACATATATCCTCAAGTAGATCGGCCTAAAAATAACCTTAACTCACTAGATCTGATATTTTACCTTTCGAATCAACAAATATCCGGTGACGATTTGAACTTCCCGATGGTCCTCCGATCAAGGTAAAAGCTATCTCCTTTTATTTATTTCGATTATTTGTTTGGATATGGCTCTCTGTTTTTTCTTTGATTTTTCTCTCTGCTCCAGACTTCTTTTTTTCTTCGAGTCGATCTTCCTTCTCCTTTAAAATGGTAACCGAATGATATGCTTTAGTGGGTAAGGTTGTTCCATTGATGATCGTTTAGTGGAGGATTAAGTTCCTCTTTTTTATTGTTTTAGTGGCATTTGAGTGGATTTTGTCTGATCCTTGAGTGTCTTGGTTGTTTTTGACGTATGCAATGACGCAGGTGGCCTTGTTGGTGTCTCGGCAGTGCTCGGCCGGAGCGTGCGGTGGTTGCTCATTCGCGAAGGAATGACGGCGGTGTTCACTGTTGCGGCAGTTGGAGAGGCTGTCACTGGCGGCTGCATCTAGCTTGAGAGTAAGCTAGGGTTTTGAACACCCTAGTTACAATGGGTTTGGTCCAATCCGGGCCTGGTACTGGGTTTGAGTTGTAATCTGATTTGGGTCAGCTGTTATCTTCAAGTCTTGGGCCAAAACCGGGACTGGGTATTGTATTGGACTGTTGGGTTTATAGTGTACCTGCAAATATTGTAAAAATAACAATTAATAATAATAATAATATAATTATAATTATAATTATGATTATAATATTTTTTTCAGCTCGGTTAAAAACGAGTGTCTATAATTGTCTCTTTGTCTATTCTTGTGTTAACAAGAATAGGGCAAAGATAAAAAACACAACGAGTTTTTGTTCAGTTTTTTTTTTGTTTAGCATTTGATTTGGATATCTTTCATTGGAAAATGTTGATCTTTCGAGTGATACGTTGCTTATTCGAAGTGTGGTGAATCGAGCAAAGGAAATGTTGAGAGCATCTTGCCTGAAGGACTTATGGTGGCCTGAAGGCTCAGTTTTTTAAATATAATCTGAAAATATCTTGTACTAAAGGTCTTATGGATGGTCCCAAGGACTTAAAAATAAAGAAACCCCGAAGGTTTAGTTTCTTAGATCTCATTTGAAAACATCCTGCACTGAAGGTCTTATGGATGACCCGAAGAACTTAAAAATCAAGAAACTCCCGAAATCTTAGTTTCTTAGATCTCATTTGAAAATATCTTACACTGAAGGTCTTATGGATGGTCCGAATGACTTAAAAATCAAGAAACCCTTGAAGGCTTAGTTTCTTAATTGTTACCAAGGAACCTACATATCACGATGGTCCCTCAAGTGTTCATCAAGTTTGTCATCAAGGAACCCCTACATATCACGATGGTCCCTTAAGTTTTTCATTAAGAAACCCCTACATATCACGATGGTTTCTCAAGTTTGTCATCAAAGAACCCCTACATATCACGATGGTCCTTCAAGCTTGCCATCAAGGAACCCCTTAAAATCAGGCTTAGTTTCTAAAAATATTGTGTTTCGAGCGAAACTATCTCAAGCGAGATAAAATCTTCTGTTTCAAGTGAAACAATCTCAAGCGAGATAAAATCTTTTGTTTCAAATGAAATTGTCTCAAGGGAGATAAAATTTGTTTCAAAGGAAACTGTCTCAAGCGAAACTGTCTCAAGCGACACTAAATTTGTTTCAATGGAAACTATCTCAAGCGAGATAAAATCTTTTGTTTCGAGGAAAACTATCTCAAGTGAGATAAAATCTTTTGTTTCAAGGAAAACAATCTTGAACGAGATAAAATCTTTTGTTTCAAGGAAAAACAATCTTGAGTAAGATAAATCTTCTGTTTCAAGGAAAAACAATCTTGAGTGAGATAAAATCTTCTTATTTCGAGTAAAAAAATGTCTCAAGCGAGACAAATGTTGTTTTAAGAAAAACATGTAGTGAAATGAAATGTCTTGTTTTGAATAAAACCTGTCTCAAGCGAGACAAATCTTGTTTTAAGAAAAACAATATTGAGTCAAATGAAATGTCTTCCTTCAGGTAAAACAGTCTCAAGTGAGACAAAGTCAGTTTTAAGAAAAATAATCTACAGTGAAATAAATCATCTGTATTAAATGAGGTTGTATCAAGCGAGACAAAATTTCTATTGGAAATGTTGAATTTGAAGATGATTGCTCCCTCTTGCCGAGGATGTCTTGTTGTCCTTTACTCTCAATTTTTTCCTGAAAGATCCGTAAAATGTAGTTGAATGCAACTATCCTGATGATGGATGTTTGATGCAAAGATGCAAATTCATGTATGCATGTTCTTCTTGATTAATAACAGTGAAAATGTGCTCAAGCAATCTTGGTTCTCTTCTTGATCTGTTCGTCTTCATTCTTCTCTCACACCAAGGTGTACCCTCACATTTCTTTGCAAACATCTGCTTTTCTTGGCTCCCTAACATTCAAATTCTTTGCTCCAATTTAGGATTTTGAGCTCCTAGGTCTGAGGGACCTCTTTCAATTTCTAGGCTAAACTCTCCAGAGAGATTATCCTGTTTGAAAATATTTTCTCTTTTTATTTTCAAAATATGGAAATTCGTTAAAGAAAAATGTCATTATTTTAGGCTCACAATTGAAGTAAATCACAAAACATGAGTTCAGTAAATATCAAGAGAATCAACAGCTCTTTTAATCTTTCAAAGTTATACCTCTTTGACAAGTGTCAAAATTGATGGGTTGGTTTCAGGTTAGCTCCTTAAAGTTTCTAAGGTTTCAATCATCGAAATGTTGTTTCTTGTTTGGTCCTTGTGAACCTTACGACATGCCCTTTTTTTTGGCTTGGCATTTTAATCAGATGCGGACAAAATGACGTAACCAACATAATCAATCACTAAACTTTCTAGAAAACTTATGTTTCAGTTCTCTGAAATCTTCTATTTGTTCAAGCTTCGTAGACTCATCTAACCAAGGTAGTGCAGAAATATCGATCTAAAAATGAAATTTCTGAGTGCTCGTGTGAAATTGACTATAACATGTGTTCCTTAACTCCCTTAGTCTATCTTTACCGAAACTCCTTATTTATAAAATTTGCCATGGTCTGGCTAGCTGAGATCAACTTTATTGTAATTTGCCTTTATCAGGCTAGCTGAAGGGTTCATCTCATCACAAAGTCTTTGACTTGACAATCACAGTGGAGCATACACCGAATTGCCAAGTATCCGATCAAGGTCATGGTTTGAATATAATCTATTCATAAAGGCAGTGCTTTCGATTTTCCTCTATAACCAATTGCCTTAGTAGAATAACTCAGCTTTATTGTATATAATAGTATAATAAGCTAGCTGAATATTATCCATAAAGCCGGGGCTATTAACCAATTGCTCAAGAGGGACAACTCAAGCTTTATTGTATATATATATAATATTATAATCTGGGTACACGGATCAATTTCTTAAGCTTGTCAAGAAAAACCTGTTATAGTCTAGGTGTTGTTGAAAGTCAGAAAATCTCATCTTTAGAGTTCAATTTCCAAGCAACTGACCCAAACCAGATTCACCTACTCGACTTTTCCATTTGCGAAGATTAATATCACTGAACATCTTCAACAGAAGTGTAGTCTAGGAAGTTTTGCAATGTCATACACAAGAGATGCCCCCATGTTGTCCGCTCCTATTCATACCTGAACGCCAAGCCTTTTGATCATTTCCTCATGAGAGGAGAAGGCTAAAGTGGTCCCTACAAGAGAAGTGTATGGGATTCGAGTTTATCATCTGTGGTAAGGTCAAGGGTCCTTGTTTTACCAGTTTTCAATCTTGTCATTTTGTCAAAGATCTATAACTCTGATTCTTAAAAAATCTTTTAATCAAAATGATATTCAAAGAATTTCTGAAAATTACTCATTGCTCATAACCTCAGAAGGTAGCATTTTACTTAAAATGTTTAATTGTTAAGTGACTTACAAACTTTTTAATGAAAAGAGAAAGAAAATAAATTCAAACAAGACAATATGTGAGTGAATTAAAAGTTCATAGTGGTTGCAATGATTTTTCTTAGTTTGCATCAGAATGCCCTATCATTCTTCGAATGTCCATGCCCCTGAATCGATTAAGTGTTGAACCTTGCGCTTCAATGCCCCACAATTCTCAGTAGTATGCCCCGAGCTTCCCATGTGGTAGCTACATACTGCATTAGCATCATGCCTCTCAGGAAATGGGGGTTCTTTCGGTTTAGACCTAACTGAGTCACGAGATTCTTCTCAACTAGTACTGGGAGCAGCTCTTCATATGTCACCGGAATTTTACTAATAGGGGTTTTCTCTCGGGTCATTTTATAAGGTTTGGCCCTACGATTACCTGAATAAGAATTCATTGTATTGACATCGACTCCTTTCTTAACATCGGTACTGTCAGAGTTTCTTATCTTGTCATTCATAATGGCATTCTCGATTAATTCCCCAGAAATGACCAGGTCGACAAAGTTCTTGGTAGCATTTCCTACCAGATGCCACAGATATGGAGCCTTCAAGGTATTCACAAAGATAATTGTAGCCTCATTCTCACACAACAGGGGTTGTACTTGTGATGCCACATCGCGCCATCTTTGGGCGTACTACATGAAGGTTTCGCTGTGTCGTTTTTCCATTTTTTGTAATGTCCACCTGTCAGGTATCAGGTCAGTGACGTGACGATACTGCTCCAAAAATGCTCGTGCCGAATCTCTCCATGATTTGATTTGGGATCTGGTCAACAAATTGTACCATTTGACCGTCGTTCCAGTAAGACTATCCTTGAAGCAATGTATCAGAAGCTTCTCATTTTCAGTGTAACCTGTCATTTTCCTGCAGAACATGATGAGGTGGGCCGATGGGCAAGTACTTCCGTTGTATTTTTCAAAGTCTGGTGCTTTAAACTTCTGGGGTAATATGAGGCCAGGAACCAAGCTTAGATCCCTTGCATTACTCCCATAGAATGTATTGACCATCTCCTTGGATTTTACCATCTCTTCTATATCTTTCATTATTTGGATAATCTCTTTATTTTCAGCTAATTCATTTTAGTTCGAGACCTCAATATTAACACAATGTTCACTTAGCTTCAGCCTAGAAGTAGAATGACAGTCAATGGGGAATGAAGCTCCAGTATTATATTGTGGGTTATGGATAGTGAAGCAGACTAGTAATCGGATTCCTTGATGAGCAGAGATGTGCTCAGGAATGTGAACAGGTGTGAAACCGGATGATGTATGGGGTCTTTCACAGTGGTCTTTCCAGTGGGCAAATGTCTCCTAAACATTTCTTCCACATTGTTCAACGGATCTAGCTGAGAGTTTGCAATATTAGCCTCAAGTTGTGCTAACTTATTCTTCATTTCTTCTTGCATATCTTTCTGCTCTCTCTCAATTCTTGCTAACTTATCCTCTATTTCTTTAGTTATTTTCTTTCGTCAATAATGATAAGCACTCTTGCTACCAGTGTGAATTCGAATCACTGCGATCGAAAACCTTATCTTATTATCATTACTTTAAAGAATGAACACTTTA